TCAGCATCAGCACCAGCATCAGCATCAGCATCAGCAGCATCAGCATCAGCATCAGCATCAGCATCAGCATCAGCATCATCAGCATCATCAGCATCAGCATCAGTATCAGCATCATAATCGTCAGCATCGTCATCATCAGCAGCATGATCGTCATCCTTCCCTTCCTCCTCCTGATTCCTGATTCTTGATGGCGTGATAAGTCCTCGATTGCCGCCCTTCCTCCTGCGCCTCCTCCTCTTCCTCCTCCTCCGCCTCCTCTTCCTATCCTTGTCGTCCCCCCACCCTCCTGCTCCTTCTTATGGCGCCTCATGGCTTGCCTCTTCCTCGCCGTCGCCGTCCTCCGACTCAGCCTCCTCCTGCTCCTCCGACCCCTTATCCCTCACTTGTAAACGTATACCCCGACTCTGCCACACAAGCGGCCGATAGCTGGCTACTCTGGGACATCCCAGCCGACCTCTAAAACAGCTTAGAAGCGACACTTTCGCTGTCAGCGCGAACGTTGCGCCACCCATGTTGCAGAACTCGTGGCAGGAGTGGGGCGGGGGGGCGAACCTCCCGCGCGAGAGGCCGAGACGTCGCTCTCGCCTCGGCACCGCGCCCGTGCCTCCAGAGAGTGGAGCTCCCGCTTGGGTGCGGCGCGCACTCTTCGCACGCAGGCTGCGTCGACGCGCGCGAGCGGGTGACCTTGTCGCTCTCGCCTCGGCGCGTGCAGATTCCGCCTGAAAGTGGCGCTCCCGCCCAGGTGCGGCGCATGTTGTTCACGCGCCAACGTCGGGGGGCGCGCGGGCGGGCGACTCCTCGCCCGCGCCCCATCTCCGTGCACATGTCTTTCAGAAGTGGCGCTTCCGCCCAGGCGCGGCGCACGAATTATCACGCGCCAGCGTCGGGGGGCGCGCGGGCGGGGGACTCCTGTCCCGCGCCCAATCTCCGCGCGCATGTCTTCCAGAAGCGGCGCTCCCGCGCAGGCGCGGCGCATGGCTCGCTCGCCGAACCGCATGACGGGCGGCCGCGGCAGCGGGGCCGAGCGGGCGCGATGCCGACCTCGACCGAGCGCCGCGCAGGCTTGAGAGCGAACGCGGAGGTGCTGCGTCAGCGCGGCACGCGCTTCGTCTTCGCCGCGCCCATCGGAAGCGGTGCCGCTCCCGCCCCCGCGCGGCCCGCGCAGGCGTCTCTTCGCCAAGTCGGCGGAGGTGGGGCCGCGCGCGAGCGCCTGCCGAGTGCTGGTGACTGCGAGGTGGGGGCGGGCTCCAAGCCGAATATCAGGTTGTGCCATACTGGAGGGGCAGGGTGGGAATAGGCGGGTCCCTCTGACTCGCGCGACCTGGCTAGCTTGACTCCTCCTCCTCCTCCTCCTCCTCCTCCTCCTCCTCCTCCTCCTCCTCCTCCCCCTCCTCCTCCTCCTCCTCCTCCTCCTCCTCCTACTCCTCCTCCTCCTCACTCCTCCTCCTCCTCCTCCTCCTCCTCCTCTATCCTCCTCCTCCTCGTCCTCCTCCTCCTCCTCCTCCTCCTCCTCCTCCTCTTCGTCCTCCTCTTCGTCTCCCCTCCTTCCCCTTACCATCCCCTCACAGTAGATCTTTCCTCTTTCCCGACGTCGCCGATTTCCACCTCCGCATTCCCCCTTAGCATCTCCTGATCCCGCTGCCCTTCCTCTTCCTCTCCTCCTCCTCCTCCTCCTCCTCCTCCTCCCTCCTCCTCCTCCTCCGTCCTCCTCCCCTGCCCCTCCTCCTCCCCCTGCCAACGGGCCCTACACTGATGGTCCCCCGCTCCTCTCGCTTCACCTGCTGACTATGCCCGTCATTCACCGCCACTCCTCCCCTCTCCACCTCCTCCTCCTCCTCCTCCTCCTCCTCCTCCTCTCCTCCTCTCCTCCTCCTCCTCCTCCTCCTCCTCCTCCTCCTCCTCCTCCTTCCTCCCTCTCCTCCTTCTCCTCCCCCCTCCTCCTCCTCCTCCTCCTCCTCCTCCCCCTCCTCCTCCATCCTCCTCCTCCTCCCTCCTCCTCCTCTCCCTCGTCTTCTCCCCCCTCTCCTCCCCTCCTCCTCCTCCTCCTCCTCCTCCTCCTCTCCTCCTCCTCTCCTCCTCCTCCTCCTCCTCATCCTCCTCCCTCTTCCTCCTCCTCCTCCTCCTCCTCCTCCTCCTCTTCTTCCTCCTCCTCCGCATCCTCCATTCCTTCTGCTTATACACAGTTTCTCCCTGTCGCACCCCCGAAGCCAGTTCTTCGGGCGAGCTGCTCGTTTCGCCCGAGACTTCCTTACCATTTATGACCCTGAGGCTTACACATTGACAACAGATTCACAGGTGGAGGGCGGGTCCGTTCCAAAGTGTGGCCCTCGCCTCAGCGATGCGCAATTCGTTCTAAAGCTTTGCGAGAGGTTCACGAATTGAGGGCGAGTGGGTTTCAAACTGTCGCTCTCGCCTTAGCGCCGCGCACATTGGTTTTTGAAACCTTGCCAGATTTGCACGGATTGAGGGCGGCTCCTTTTCAAAATGTGGTTCTCGCATCAGCGCCGCGCACATTCGTTTATAGAAATTGCCAGGGTTCGACGGATTCCAATGCTCAGCGCATCAGCAATGGCGTGCTGGAAGGATTCAGGATTATGCGGGTGCACCAATTAATTACGTAGCTTCGCGGTGTTACAGTCACAGGAATGGCGTTCTGGTGCGATTCAGGATCGCCAAGACGCAACAGTCAGGTTGATCCGTGGCGTTGGAATCCCGAAATCCATGTTTTGGCAGACTTCAGGGTCGTCCAACGGCTGTCTTCCAACGAAGCAGCTCCCGCAATGGAAATGAACCGTTGTGTGGGCATATGAAAGGGGGGGCTTGGAGGGAGGGTTTAAGCCAACATCGTTGATGACTCTGTGGTTTACACTGGTCCTCCTCCTCCTCCTCCTCCTCCTCCTCCTCCTCCTCCTCCTCCTCCTCCTCCTCCTCCTCCTCCTCCTCCTCCTCCTCCTCCTCCATCTCCTCCTCCGCCTCCTCCTCCTC